CACCGCCCTCTCCCGCCGCCCTCCCGGACTGCGCACCCAGCCTTGCACATTCCACCTCTGGGACTTCCCCAGCCCCAAGCGGCCCCCAACTGTCACTTCTTGGCATCACGCCCCTCTGCCAACTCATCTGTGGCATCTCCTGGGCTACCCTGGAGTGTTAGGTAACGCCGCTAAGCAATCGCAGGGAGGGGGTACGCTTATTGCGGATGAGGGAGTACGTTGCACACCTGGTGGGTCCTTCACTAAAGTCTAGAGAAACTGGTACCGCAGACTGATGCCAGCCAAGGAGAGGTGCAGAGCCTGGTGCTGAGCCGGTTACCCATTGCAATTAGGATCCTTGATGCACCCTCTTGCTTTGCCAGTGTCCTGATCCCTTTGAGTGTCTAGGTCAGCTCCTTGGGTTGGCTGCTGAGTAACTGAGCCCGCAGCAGGCCTCCTGTTCCCACAGTGACAGCCTTTGGGCCCAACTGGAATTCGTGATTTGGATCATGATTTAAAAGCAAGGCTTGGTTTCTTAATCCTTCCTTTCTTCGCCCTCCCCCACAGCCCCCCACCCCGACCTTTTTTTTTTTTTAACTTGATAAAGTTCTCCAGCTACCTTTCATTGGCCCACACTTCATCACTATTGATAAATGCAGTAAAGAGTTGCAAACTGAGCTGGCCTCAGCGTTCAGTCAAAAAAACGGTATCTTCCCTCTTCTGCAGAAAGCGCCCCCAGAATTCAGGAAGGACAGCTGAGCTGGAGAAAAGGGGGCTGTGGAAGTTGGTGGGGGGTGACTCTTTAATTCATAACCTCGTCATTGAATCATCGAGTCCTTCCATTTAAAATCCCTCCAAGGGAAGAAGATAAATGGGTTGCGCACAATGTGAATACCTCAGAACATTAATGGATTATGTTAAGAAAAATATATATTACACATTAACTATAGTTGGAATGCTAAGTAGTTTTCATACTCCGTCAAATCTTTCAACATAGTGAAATAGATGTTATTTTCCAATTTACTTATGGGGAAACAGACTTGAGAGATGACTATAGCTTGCCCGAAGTCCTGCTTTTGATTATAGAAAAACTAGGATTTGAATCCACTTAACACCATTCAACTCCAAAACCTATGCCTACTGTAACCCTTACCTTTAATCTCTAACCCCTACCCTTAATCCATACCTGTCATTTAAACTATAGAATTGGCCTTGGTAACATATAGGATTTCACTGAGCTTAACTGAGAATTCTCACAAAATGCACGTGTGGCATGAAATCAACATGAATAAACATTTTAACAGTTATTATTAACTCAAGGGGCATCATTCTCCCTGATCATAGATAGATGCTTTGGAAAGAAGTGAAATCTCTTATAATCTATACATTGGATATATACTTAATTTTTCAAAATTCTTAAGATAATTTTTAATAGAAATGATGCACTTTCAGTTGTGCACATAGAGTTCGCTATAATTTATTGAAATGACAAAAGTTTATGAAACATTGAATATTAACATCCGCTACTCTAGAGAGATAAAGATCTGTATTGCTCTCCAAATAAAAATACCCAATCAACAAATGTTTCTCTTGTTCCATTCTCTACTCATACACAGAAAAGTAATGA